TTGGTACCTTTCGGCTTTGCTTTGCAAAAAATGGGAACGGCCATTGTGGGGACACTAGAGTCGGCGACAATTAAGCTCTTGTCGGTTCTGCACTTTTGAGTACTACAGACCAAAAATGTTGTTGATATTGCGTCAGTTTATTCCAATTTCAAAAACAAAATCAGTGTATGAGATCTCAAGATCACGCATCAACCTACGTGACACACCACGTGACTATAACATTACCGCACACATCTTGCCTCCATTGACAACATTTTCATAAACAACTTCAAGATCACGCATCAAACTACGTGACACACCACGTGACTATAACATTACCGCACATATCTTGCCTCCATTGACAACATTTTCATAAACAACTGCAAGATCACGCATCAAACTACGTGACACACCACGTGACTATAACATTAACGCACATATCTTGCCTCCATTGACCACATTTTCATAAACAACTTCACGAATTGTTACACACAATTTTTGCGAAGTGTTTCATTTGGGGGGGGGGTGGGTTTAAGTTAAAATTTGCAAATTTATAGGAAACTTAGGGGGTTGGTTTTTGGTAAATTTTCTGGGGACCGACCGACTGACACCAAAGTGACTTGTGGAAGCTCCTGCTAAAGCTAAATCCCAATTGGAATACGAAATTAAAAAGCTTGAATGATATCAGAATTGGAAATTGGCTTTGACAATGCTAGTATTACATAAGTATGCTAGTATACATAAGCGCATGGCCTTGCGGCCATCTTTGCTGTTTGTGCAATAGACCATTATCATATTGCGGCCATGTTGATTCTTTCCCATTCAAATCAACGTAACCAAGGCGAGGCTGGAAGGCAAAATAGTCTGGTTCCTTTTTGCACAAAAATATTATTATTCAGTACTGTTATTGGATACAGGGAACATGACTGAAATGGTGGCAGCACGATAAAGGTCTATTGTGCAACAATACACACGAGTGGGTTTATTGTGCCCTCGTTGATAAAGAATTAATGTGACAAAAAAACACCTTTAATAAGATTTGCTGCTGAAATGAATGCAATCGATATTTTTTTTTTTAATATACCTTTTCACCCCAATTAAAGAAAGAAGTCCAATGAAATTGAAACGAGCTTTCTGTATGGTTTTATTTTTATACAACAATTGCAGAAGCTTGTAATCATACAAATGTTATTGTGAGGCAAAAGAAAAAGCGTAATATTCAGCCGCCTAAGGATGTATCAATAAAAAAGGAAACCCAGATGTAAATTATAAATAATCTAATACATATTTTGAAATAAGTTCAAAAATCAGTATGAAACCCCAACGCGTCCTCTTTCCAATGATACCTTGATTGTGCCAGTGTCTGTGGCCACGGGTGACTGAGCATTCGTTGTTATTCTGTCAAAGAGTCAAAGCCTGTACTGGGCCAAGTTTGTGCAAAAGGGCATCTGGTATTCTGAGCATGTGGAACGGTTTAATTTGAAGAAAGAAGACGTCATTTTCCTTTTCTCTCTCTTTCTCCTGAAGACGGTCAAAGCATACTGACCGGAACGTCGAGTTTATACCTCTGGTTCTTTTCAGAACCATTCTCTTAGTTGAGAAATCATTCGCACATGGTGTTTCCGCAAACCTTTCATTAATCATTTTCCTTAAAACAACTTATTCAGTTTTGACACAGTGATTTAGCCACCTCCATTGTTGAAGTTAAACCCTCATGGCCCAATTAATGCCTTCGACGTGACCACCACATGGCCACACACAAAGCTATACGAATAGTATAGATAATTTACATTCACATTTGGGTTACTCTTTTTTATACACCATGTAGACGTCTATATCCCTCCACCAAAAGAAAATACAAAAATAAACTGAATAAAGCCGATGAACCATTCTTCAGTTCGAATGTAATGATATCATAAAATGGTGATGTCACGATACCGCATTCTTTCCATGCATTAGTTCTCAAACTGGTTAATGGTTAATCGGTGAATGTTTTCAAAACTTAGCATTCGATGCGAACAATGTCACAGTCGGTATACAAACAGTTGATATCACTAACAGTATTATACAGAAACGTGATAATTGCACAATCCTAACCTGTACCTTTAAAATAATCATTCTTCGGGATGTTTTGTCTCTTAAGCACAATATTCGTTTGGTGATATTTTTTTCGCAAATGGTACACCGGCTAGAGTTGTTAAACAGTCGCGTAGAAACTTTTCTCTTGGAATATGAATGTGTAAATAGCAATTATAACAACATTATTACATATGCCATGTTTAATTTCGATCTTCAGTCAGTTTAGTGTTCAAAGGGCTGAATGATGCTGAATTCGGTTATGGGTTCGATCACCGGTGAATCTAAAATGTGAATGTCGTTTAAAAAAACAATTGACAGTTGGATTTTGTTGGAGCAACTAAATCTCTTTGCTGTACTACACCTAGGCGCTACTCCTAAGATAACTATGATAACAACAAGGAGAGCGCACTGTTTGGGAAAGGCGAGGCATTTAGCTGTACAATTATAACTCAATATATTTAAGATGGCTGTCATGATAATTATGAACCAAAATAGTTGCAGCATCTAATTTATATATTCACTGGGATTACAGACGTCAGAATTTTCAACATGAATGTTTTCATTTATATCATAAAAATCGTTCTTTTCTAAGCATATTCTTTTTCGTTGAAATGTAAAAAAAAACTGAATCAGATGATTTATAAAAATAGCTAAACGTGTAATTTAGCATGCATAAAATGTAGAAAAAAATCCGTCAATTCTAGAAATACAGAAAATGTTAGAACTAAACGAATAATGCAATTTTAAAAACATTTAATTAAGCGTTTTCTTTACATTTAAAAAGAAATATACTTATTACACTTTTACTTCAATTAACTTCGTTTTAACGTATGCACATGAGGCCTATTATAAGGTATTGCAGAATAAGACATTAGTTCGTACAACACAGGCCTAGCTGTTTTGTTTTAGAAATAAAACACGGTAGGGAAGGTAAAGAAATATTCTTGAAATACCATCAGCCTGTATTAATGCACCTTGCCTTTACATTAATTTTTAGCAAAAAAAACCAAACACATTTCTCCAAAAAGGGTCACTGAGATGATTTTTTCTTCCGACCACGTTTTCTGCAACCTTTTACTTCTCTTAAATATGAAAACTATTTGACATTCCTTTTTGCTTAAGTTAAGTGAAAAGTGCACAAACATTTTACAATTTTCTGTCCATTTTCCGGACAACTGAGGGCGCTGTTGCTGTGAAATCATCTCAGGAAGAAACTGTTCAGGTTTGGGGCTATTCTGTCCAAATTGTGAACCCTGTGTTCATAGGTTTACTGCTATGTACTGAAAAAACATCGAAACACCAAAGAAAACAAAACAACAGAAAAAAGATCGAAAATTCTGCCAACTTAAAAAAAAAATACATTGCAAGGGCCCTTAAAACTGAACTTAGTTTCTCCATTTAAAATAGACAATATCATTCCCTCACTGTCGACTATTTCCAGCGCCTTGAGCAGTTGTTGGTAGATGCGTGCGCTATATAAGTCCCCTGTAGCATTAGAAGTAGTATTATTTTGAACAATGTTTCTGTCATTAAATCAATTGGATTATTTCTGGCCATTCCGGGTAATTGCAAATGATCCCACGTGGCTTCAAAAGTGGCGGCATATCATTCAAATTCAATCTTGAAAAGGAATTATCATATAACTTGCAAACGCCATGATTGTTATTACACGCATACTAGATTAACAGTGTAACTAGATTACCTCACTCGAAGCAAATTGGAACAAAGCCGCGCGAAACATACATCGGTAGATTTGGGAAGACTGGTTTTTTTTTTGTGCTTACCTTGAAAAAAGTACTCACTCAAAAAAATGCTCCTTTTTGACTACTTAATGTTCTCAATAACTTCACACCCTGATGTCGTACGTTTTTCTGGGGGGAAATAAGAACGAAATAAGTACTGAAAATTGATGCAATAACTATTTGCTATGCTTTTTCTTATAATACTAATCATACGAAACAAAGCTGAAAATTTTCAGGCTGTTTAGAGACAGTACAGGGTGGGTAAAAAAACAAGAAACCCAAATGTCGGGACCATTGGTTTAGTCAAGTTGTGCATGTAGCACTTTCAAAATCTAGGATATGAAAGCTCAATTCATAAGCTTTTTTTAGTACATAAATCATTCAAATCATTTATATACTTTTCAAGTTACGGAATTATTAACACAACCGCCGTTTGAAGGTTCTGTCCACGGATCACAAAAAGTTCAGTGTTCTTTCAGCAAAACAAAAATAAATCACATAAGAATAGGTGTAAATTGTTTTTGTTTTGCTGAAATAACATACACCTTTTTTTGTGATCTGTGGACAGAACTTTAAAGCGATGGTTGTGTTTAAAACTCAGTAACTTAAAAAGTACATAAGTTATTTGAATGATTCTCGTACTAAAACAAAGCTTGTGAATTGGGCTTTTATATCCTAGATTTTGCAAGTGCTACATGCAAAACTTGACTAAAACAATGGTTCCAACATTTGGTTTTTTTTTTTTTTTTACTCACCCTGTATATAGGACGTGGTTTTACAAACCTCGCTGTATAACAGATCTTGCAACTACAATGTATAAAAACTCCAAGGTAGGCAGGATTTTTGCTTATAATAAATCTTATATAGAAGCCCTCTTCTGGTTTTCTGAAGACAGATGGAATTATCACGTCTTGCAGATGTCAATTACACAAGACAAAGCCAAGCACAGCAAAACCGGTCCCAGAGTGCACATAATTATATTCACTTGGTTCAAAATAGCAATTCACTGGAAGTCTGTGATGAATTAGTAAAAGAGGATACCGCCCTCTGTTGTTTACATTAAAGTTGACCTTTCGGGGGTCACTCTTTTGTTCTCGAAAGACAAGGTGTCGCGTGTCTGATCGCCTGAGTTCTTTTATTTTATCTGTTTGTGGCTGCTCGTCAGTAGATTAACTTTTCAAAGTCTTTTCGTGCTTCAGTCTATCCACACCGTGGGACTGCATTTCTAGCCCATTCATCGGTGTTGCGTAGTAATCCTATACAAGAGTACTGCCCGGCTATCGTCACCAGTGTTAACCAGTCTAAGTCACAAGTGACAGTCACTCGTAAGTCATTGTGATAGATACAAGAAAACAATTGCCGGTCATCTGTGACCAACGAATAATGAAGTGTCAGACTTAATTGTTCACGATCAGTACCTTGCAAGTATAAAAGGATATTTCGTTTCAACAAACTGTTTTATTTTGTAACACAGAGCTGTAATCAATGCAATCACAAACCAATCACAATAAGGTCATAAGTGACGGGAAGAAATACATATGATTTTGTTTATTCAATTTTCATTTAAAAAAAAACTTGTAAATTGATGTGGGACAGGAGGATTTTTGATTACCTTCCAAGTGATTAGATTACAAGAAATTAACTGCAACACTGTTTCTCACTAAGGAAATAAATGTTTGCTTGGGAGGTTTGAAACACTCTGTTAAAACCGGCTGGAGACTGGACGCTGATAATTACTTCCCATTAATAAATACCTTTTCGGTAGAAATTCAAAAATTTTCGGTCAAAAAGTCATAATGTGTCAAATATTGAAAACTAGTCCAACGATTTTTTTTATCAACAATTTCACTCCATGTTTTTCGAAACTCCCCTCAAGGTAACTAATGCAGTGTCCACCTCGCGAGTAGAACAACTCCGTATATGGAGATTGGCGTGCGCGTGGCAGAGAATGCAGCTGTGGCGGTGCGTTGTGAATTCAAGACTACGAAAGACTGTCTCACTGGTAGTATTGTGCATGCCTACGTGAGGATTGTGAACGTTCAACCAATAAAACGGTAAAAGGTACTGGTTTTCATAAGAGTCCAAATTTCATGTTACACTGGACAGTTTTAAAAACCCGGCCAGCCATGTCTCTATCATATTAAAACACATGTGATACGATACTGGCAATCTCTCCTCACCTTGGAACTGCTGTGCCAGGTCAATTCGTCCAACCTTCTCCAAGGCCCCGGCTAAGATGCTTTCATCCCATCTTCCAGACTGCCGCTTCCACTCCACAAGCATAGCAAACATCTGATTACTGACTTCATATCTGTATTCGTCTTTAATCTTGGACAGGTCCGCGTTAGTCAATCCCAACCAAGTGGCAAGTGCCTCCCATTCTGATCCCAACCTCGTGGCAAGCCAACGGAAGCGTTGCTCGACGGCAATTTCCAACTGTTAAACAAAATCATAAACCGTCTAAGAAACAATAAAAAAAACAAGGAAACTCCACCATGGGCGCCATGCACAACGGCCAGAAAAGGAGAGTTGGGCGAGACCTAGACTGGTTTCCGGTCCATCCACTGCATATTTCGAATACTCAAAAGTTACCGGGGGTTGAGATTGGTCTGGGCTACCATCGCATATAGTACTTTAAGTTCTATATCTATGCTACAGCACAGTACGCACAAGCTGTGTGTCCTGTCTACGGGGCTCTCAAAAGTTTAAACGAGCGCTGATTGTTGGGGCGCGGAGTCCATAGTGCCTGAGTTAATAGAGGAAAGATAAAACAAAATGAAACATCCGAGCTGATCAAAACAGCGGACGAAAAGTTAAATTTCCTCCGTCGAGATCCACTAATTCATAACGGAGTATTCTATTCTATTACTTTGCATCGATCGATAGAGACTGTCAAGCATAATACTCACGGCAAGCCGAGAACTATCTTCAGGGTTTCCCGTCGACGTGGAACCATCTTTTGGCGAGTTTTCGGGGGCTAGGAGCAAATGTAATAATTTTAGCTACGAAGGAGACCAACAATTTTAAATAGTTGTAACTAAGGTTTACTGCATTTTGTTAAAGAAAGTGAGCGGCCAATTGAATTCGGTAGCCCTGAATTTGTATTAAATTTACTGCAATTTTTACTGGAGTTATTAAAAGAGGTCCAGTATGAATCTTTCATGAGATGGTTAAAGAAATACAGGAACCCTCATTTTTCTATAACAAGGGTCTCCATGCACCAAGTTTGGGCTCAGGCTTCGGATATCATTTTGTTTTTGGTCGAGTGATAACATTGTAAGCGATTCAGGATTTCAGGGGATACTCAGTTGTCTTTACCTGCCACCCGTAGTTCCTTCCTAACTCTCTTCACAATGTGCTCATCAAGCGATTCCAGCAGACGCTTCACAGCCGTCCTGTCTTGGACGCCACGCGCCCTCTGACGTCCAAAGAAGACCGTTAATGAATCCTGTGATTCCATCGAGCTTTGGCCGACATCTGCTTGCCCCGCTCCCACCAGCAATCTGGCCAAGTCTGGTTCTCCATACACGGCGCATACCATCTCCTCTGACAAGCCTCCATAATCACCGTCCGACAAGTCTCGATTCTTGAGAACTGGAACACATTCCATGGCCTCCTAAAAAGACAATCGATAAACTCACACGTTTGAAACAAAATCAGTCCATATACTATAAAACCTGGTGTTTAACTTTAAAACACATTTATTTATTCGAACTGCTTGTAAACATTGTGACGCATTTAAAGGGCCCGAATTATGTACAGTGGTCCGATACACGGTACCCTGTGGAGACATGTGTATCATATAGGGAACAAAAGATTGGATTCCTCTCCACAGGGCAATATTTTATAGGTGAATACGTCTCCACAAGGCTATCACGAAATAGATATATGGACTTTACTATAAAAAAAATAGGAATTTCCAAGGTGCTTTGATCGGCCGAAAATTGAAGTATCCTATGTAAGGGATATTAAGTCTGAATTTCAGCCCAGGAGATTAATTCTGGTAAAATAGGAGCATTTTGAAACTAGATTTCCACATTCTAAGATGTTAGTACACGAGAACAAAGACATGACTCCACAAAGATACAAATTTTAGTAGGCGTATGTACCTTTACAGTATTTGCGGCTTTTCTATCTTTCAAAAACTATATTTAACTAGAATGTGTTCTTTAAAAAGTGTTCAAGAACATTTACCCTATATGTTTCAGCTCTCAGGTCGTGACCGGGGGCGGTCCTCAGCACAATATTACATAGAAGAAAAAACTAGGAAAAGACTTGATGCAGTTTTACTTGGAATAGTCTCTCACCAAACTGTCTCCATAAAAGAAAACAAACTGTTTTACACAAACTCACCTCACAGGAAGGGCAGATTTCGCGGGCTGCATCCTAAAACAAAACCACATAATTAATTTCAGTATTCAAGGAGCCCAGTTGTATTAAACTTTTTTTTCATATATTCCCATGTGAAGGTTAAGACATGACAATGAAAGGCATGCATCGCAAAGATTAGAAGGGTCCAGCGTTCAAATAAAACTTACAAATATTTTTAACGCAAAATAAATGTCGTTTGAACCCCATTTTGACCTTATCTCTCCCCACCCAAAAGCAAATTGCAATCGACAACAAACGTTTTCCATGTAAGCGTATGAAAATATCTTCACAATAACTTAAAATATAATAAATCGCTTGTTAATAGTTCGAAAACGGCTAATTTAACTAAACTTATTACGAAAATCAGTACGACTTTCAAAACTACCAAATATCTAATGTAATACTTTTCAACTTACGTGTCGGCATTTGTAGCACGGACGCGGCTTGTCTGTCTCTGGTCTCGACTCCCTCTATTTTAAGACGAATACGAGAAAACGAACATGCAAGCTTTTCTGTTACCGTGAGGGGCATCTGTATTAAGATTTCGCAAGTATTTGTTCATAGGTACAAGGGCGGATCCGGGAGGGGGGCCAAAGGGGGCCATGCTCCCCCCCCCCCCGCCAAAAAAAAACCAACCGAAACCAATTGGGTTTTTTTATGTGACGTCGCAATAAAGGCAGGCAATGAGTGCACCACCATCTTTTCCTCAAAAAAACATTGGCTAAAGTGGTCAGAAATTGCCTCGAATCGCACCACAGAGCATCGAGAATCCAAAACAATTTCCCCGAACCCCACGCCGTAATTTTTTGACCCACTTTTTGGGAGACACAATTTTTTTTGGCACCCCCCAAAATTGTGTTCTGGATCCGCCCTTGCATAGGCCAGAGGAGGTATAAACATCGGTAATTGTATTGCTCATCGGTGTCATGTGGACTAAACCCATTTTGTTGTTGGGGAGAGGAACGATTAGCGTCCTCGCAGCTGAGAAGCTAAATTGTGCAGGACGCGGCTACAACGTGGTCAAATCGAAGGCATGTTAAGGTGCCTTTGGTCGCCGCCATGCGACCCATGTGACCATGAAGCACAGCCAGAAATCGATGTGTTGGTATTTGATATACATGTACACAATATGTAGGTATACCACACCAGAGTATTAGCCCTGACTTGAGTTACTTAAAGGGAATATACATCATTTGCTTTTGCTGTAATTTTCAGAAATGGATGGAATTGGGGGGTTGGAAATATAAAGCAAATATAGTTACACTGACTTTTTGGAGGTTTTGGGTTCGAAAATGCTATAAAAACCAAGAAAAACGATCATTTTCCTGTAGTCTGGTTCCCTGACTCCATAAAAGAAGAAACAGAGCAGTTAACATACATTAGGGAATTGTAAGGTCAGGGAACCAGTCTAGCTGGCTCGTACCCGTTCATAGGTTTGTAATCGATTGCAAACAAGTGCAATGGTCAATTGGGGCCAGTATTTGAAAAAAAGCCAGTTGTTTCCAACGCTGATCGGCCGATCAGCGTTGGAAATTGATACAAAAATACCACTTTTCTTGAAAATGACAGTATACCAGGTGCCATAATTTTACAGGATGCTTTAGACTGTCATTTACCAACATCCTATTAAGGTATTTCGCAAAAGCTTGGTAGTTTTATTTTTCGATGTTTGCAAATGTTGTATATTCCCTTTAAGAGCTATAAACGTGCCATTTTATTTCTTCAAAGACTGGGTTTTTGAGAAATAAATCAGCAGAAAATCAACCCAGGTGTGCATTAGCAATTGGCTATTGTTTTTAATAAGCAAAGTGGTCTCTAAATAGATGTGGGAACAGATTGGACGCACTCGGAACACTTTGAAACAAGTTACATGTATATAAAAACTCTCCAGCTAACATGGTTTATGTACATTTTTCCTCAAGTCTTACCTTTTCTGGTTTAATGGAGAAGCGTACCCTGCCTCCAGTCGAAGCTTCCTGAGAAATGAAAGCGTCGCAATGAGGAGCCTCGTTCAAATTGTGGCGCTCGAGGTCAAAGGTCACAGAGTCCGTTGGTAACTCCCAGATTCTTTCGACTGATATCGTCTGTTTCTAACAGCCAGAAAATTGTCAAAAATACTTTTAAATGTTATCAAGGGCCTCTTTTGATTTCATTTGAAGAAAAAAAAACAATAATTGGAAATGCAATTTGGGCGATTCACAATGCAGTGCGCCACCAGGAGTTCGCCACGGAAAGTTATTTTTTTTCCTAGTGCACTGTGGTGAGATGGTCGACAAATTATTAGCTCGGCACATTTTGGGTTTTTTGGGGGGGGTCATTAGTTTCCTAAGCGTAAGATTATCTGTTATGAACATTTGTTTGCCATTTCCTTTTCTTTTTACCAATATGGTATGGGTTTTTTTTGTGTAAGGCGGCAGAACGCTATGCCCCAATCGATAGCAAATCAGCTCAAGTTGTCTACTGACACTCATCCAAATGGGCCGTGTTTTGCAGACCGTAAACTTGAAAAATTGACTCTCCTTGGCAAACTCTTGGTGGAGCACTGCATTGTGAGTTTTGTTTCAACAAACAAAAAATGCCGATTACCAGTGTTAGGGAGTTGCAATTCAATGGTGGTTTCAATCACGAGTTCATTTCAATCTTGCATATCACTTGCTACATCACCCGAATCCATTGTTCCAAGAAAGACCCACGTCAGCCCTGGTATGGCCTTTTGTCTTTGTTTCCTCTTCTGACTTTGTTGCTCCAGGCCAAACCTCTAAAAAGGATGCTGTTTTTATGTTTGAAAGTAACTGTCTGATTTTTGTATATAAGCCAGTTATTTTCACTTGACGCCATAGGCCAACTTTTGACAATAGAAGTTGTTCCAACTAAAAAAGGCTCTGGTCTGCAGGTAAAGATACAGGCAATCACATAGACAATCAGGAAAAAAACGCTACTACCTGTAAAGTAGGAGTGGCCATTTCCCAGCCAGGCTTCATGTTCTCGATTTCAGCGTCCACGTCTCCCGATCTGCGGACAATCAGTGATCTGTAAGCGTCCAGCTGCTTGGAGCCCATTTCGTTTTCCGATTCCACAACTTTCTGTGCGACGTGAATAAAGCATGGATTTGCAAGTTGTATTTTAAAGGCTCATGCTAAATCATTTCGCCGTCTGTATACACATTACTTGTTAACGTAAAGCCCTAGTCACACATTTACGGTTTGAACTACGAATAGCTACGGTTTGTAGAGTCATTCAATCACGATGAACCATCGAGATTCGTGGAGAAATCGACCATGATAATATTTAACTCGGTTTAATTAGTTACATATTTTTTAACGATATTTTTCACCCATACCAAAATATTCCGCTCCTTGCATTGTGTACAAAAAATAAAGTGTCAACCATTACAAACAAACAACCAGGTGTTTTACCTGTTTGACAACTGGTTCATTGTTCCAGAGGTGAAACCGGAAACTGTAAAGATCCTTAGACTGATCAAAGGGGGTCCCAAATACCCCAGCCATCATTATCTTGGTGCTCGTTGCGGACGGTTGGCCAACTAGAGCTGCCCCTGTGAAATGCTTCATCAGGAGAACGACGGTCTTGTCTTTAGTCGACACCAGCACGCCGTCGTCGTTTGCATGAAGATTATTCCAGGTTTTGAGCGAGCCTTCTTCGTCATTGCACAACTGTGCACGCAGCTCCCATCCGCTTCCCTCCTTTGCAAAGTGCGGGAAGGACAGCACAACGCTCGCCAGAAACTTCAGACCTGTTGGGCCGCACTGGATCATCGGTGACAAGACACAATCTGACGGATCGATCCCGTCAACAGGTGGCGCATTAGGGTTGACATAGATGTACACCTGCTGTAGTCGACCTTTGGGAAGTGCGCCACGAGGGATGTACAGGTGGACATTGTACTTGCCCAAGGACAGGCTTCCACCATCATGGTCGAAGTAACCGATTGCAATGTACGGCAACTGAAAGGTGTTATCCTTCAGTGTGTCTTCACTGCAGTCTTTGGCGAATTTTTCGTGTTTCTCAAGGACCCTTTTCAGATGTGTTGGCGGAGTGGACGGACTGCCTGTAAACCAACAAAATCAGGATGCACGTTACACTGTAAAAAAGTTTGTTATAAACGATGCAAACAATCAACAAGTGACTTTGAATGAGTGTGTGAGTGGTGTTCAGATCATGGGTTTACATAAAAGTTTGCTGCCTACATATACACTGCATGGCAGTTCACAAAATGAATGTGTGTTTGCTACTCGATTGTATACATTCGTTTCGGTTTCGAGTCCACTCGGTCCGAGTCAACTTGGTCCCACGTCAACTCGGTCCCACGTCAACTGTGACCTTTTAGGAAGGACTGCTCGAGCAAGGCACAAGGGGCGAAATATTAGGAGCCATCAACGTTAGGGGACATCAACAATAACAGAGACCTATCGGACCTTTGTTAACCTACGTTTATTTATTTATTTATTTATTTATTTTGCCCGAATGGACCGGGTTGACTTTGGGCCGAGTTGACCTGGACCGAGTTGATTCGGGCCGAGTTGTCTTGGGACCGAGTTCACCTGTCTTTAATTCATAACGCATAGACAGTGTATTGCAACCTGAAAAGCAGACTGCAGATTCCACCAAATTCGACTAATATTAATTAATTCTGCTGAGTGAGCATCGTTCATGGCTGATTTATGTTTACGCACCTGGGACATTTCCTGCTCCATCTGGAGATGTGTGTACAACTATTGGTGTCTCCACTTGTGGAAAGATAAAGCTGGATTCCTGAAGAAGTTTAGAAGATGAAAAATTAGGGACTGCGTTTGTTGTTTATGTTGATTTAATAGAAACCAGATCTGTACGATTAATGATCACACGTGCTATAATTATGGATCAGCAAATACAAATTCAATCGGCAAATGCCAACTTCGGTACAGCAATTTAGTATAAGGCACATTATAATAATACAAAGCATTTATGAAGCGCCCAGTATAAGAAAATAACTGTCATTCAAAGACGCCGGTCGATACAAATTCATGTGTGATAAAGTGACAGTCACTTTGTGTTAGAGGAAATGTGTTTGGAAAATGTGACATTTCGAGAGAACTAATGGTCCGGAAATTCTGAACGTAGTTTACAATAAACGTACAACTTTAGCACAAAAGCCCTTTAGAGTTCAGCCTTTACTGAAATGAAAATACGCACGCCGGTGAATCTGAGAAATGTGCGGCATGACCCAAATTGTCGGCGAGCAGACCCCCAACGGAATAGTCTAATCATCTTAAAGCCGTATCTATTTGATACAAATATGTTTACATTTCCCAAATCCGGGAAAAAGGGCAATGGGTTGCATCGATTGAAAAACAGCCGCCTTTACTTCACTTCTCATTTCAATTACCAAAAAAAAAAACCCAGAAACTTGTTTTGGGACCGCAGCCCATGATTATTCTGTCGTGGCGCTTGCAAGTGAAATATGACAATTCGTTTATTCATTCAGTACTTGACCCAACAGACAGGAAACAAGGCAGTAGGCCTCTCTGACATCTGCGAAATATATCATTCATTGACCCGTGAAAAATATTGCCAATGCCATTTCGGAATACAGGGTGAGTAAAAAAAAAAAAACCAAAATTGCAGGACCAATTTTTGAATGACTTTTTGCCTGTATAGCTCTTTCAATCTAGGATATAAAAGTCCAATCATTAAGCTTTCTTTTAGTACAAAAGTCATTCAAATCACTCTCGCACTTTACAAGTTACGGAATTTAAACACAAACAGTGGTTTGTAAATCTGTCCACGGATCACCAAAAAAGTAAGCGTTCTTTCAGCAAAACGAAAACAATTCTCGCAGGGATGCATGTGAATTGTTTTTGTTTTGCTGAAATAACACTTACTTTCTTTTGTGATCTGTGGACAGAACTTTAAAACAGTGTTTGTCTTGAATATTCCGTAACCTGAAAAGTACATAAATAATTTGAATAATTCGTGTTCTAAAAGAAAACTCATTAACTGGGTTTTCATATCCTAGATTTTGAAAGTGATACAAGCAAAACTTCATTAAAAAATTGGTCCTGCCATTTGGGTTCCTTTTTTTACTCACCCTATAGAGAGAAAGTGTGTTGCATTTTGAACGCATGTAAAAGGTACTGATTAAGAGATAATATCCACCAACAGCAATAAGAAACGTTAAAACAGCCAAAATTACCAAAGAAAGCGAACCCCACACTAACCTTTGACGGTGACAGTAGCTTTTGAAACGTTCCATGTAAGGAAATAAAAAAAAAAAAATAATCATTAAAACGGTATTCTAATGTATATCATCGATTTTCTCAATAATAACAAATAATAACTGTGCTTATATATCCCTTTCCATCGTATCTGCAATCTCAAAGTGCTTTACAAATATTAACCCGTTTATCAGGCCATGGGACCGCGCGGCAGCCGATATCAGGGCTCAATCGGTCCTCGACCCTCACATGCAGTTACCCATTCATACTCCTGGGTGGAGAGAGGCAATTGTAGTTACGTGTCTTGCCCAAGGGCACAAACACCCATGTTCCTGACAGGATTTAAACCCACGCACCTTCGTACACGAGCCAAACACCGTAACCACTGGACCATGGCGTTCTGAAGAACGGCAATGCCGGGAAAATGTTATTTGATTTAACTTTGGTAAGAATGGAAATGGATCTTTGAACTCAATCACACGTTGCGTTGAATCTATAGCTGAGCCTCTTCGAGAACAAAACAAAGTATCAATGACGAGAAATGAATACTTTAGAACTTTGAATGTGAATTGCACACTCACCCGTTTTGGCGAAATCCATTCGTTAACCTGAATGGAGATCAAATAGACGAGAGAACAATAGTTATTCATCAATACCTGAGACAGTTTAAGCTAGCTATTCCCATTGGTCGAGAGCCCGTCACTGGGCGATTTTAAACCCCTGATAATTTACTGCAAAATTTTGTAAAAAGTTGACTTTTTGACCGCAATATAGTGATGAATGTTCGGCGACCATGCAGGACGATATCCAGTTTTAAACGTACATGCTTAAAACCTGCCAAGCAACTTATGCATAACCACATATGTATTCCCTTATTGAAACAGCATGTTTAATCAATCGCTTTCCCAAATACAGCAATACGGAAAAACAAGGTCATTGGATTTTACAATTTTTGAATCCAATGACATTGAATGAAATGACGTTGTATTATAGCGACACCAGTGTTAACGAAGAATGCGAATAGTACACTTACCGTACTCGACGGCCGTATCTTTTTAAACGTCCCCATGTAAGGAAATGAAACAAGTGAGGGAATAACATTATTTTTGAAGGAAAAAAAAACATTATTCTTATGTAATCCTGCGTGAAAAGGACAGCAATATGGAAAATGGTAATGTTCTGCATTTGCGAGTTTTGTAATGTAAAGACTTATTTTAATTGAATGGTAAGGGCGTTTAACACAATGTTATGCTGCTTGGCCACTTAGGAGACAAAAGAAACTTCCCCGACGCTAGCGTTAAAATTAAAAGCAAGATGGACAACAGTTTGAAATGACCAACGGCAGCACTTTTACTTGAAGAAGGAAATGGAGCTGTATAAAAATTCCAAATGTTTAGTTAAGCAAGTTTAATAGCAACAAACAGTTCCAGGTAGAGATAAGCTTCCAGAACTTCTTATGAATGTTGTAAAAATATTTCCAGCAATTATGGGCGAAATATTAATGTGGGGAATCAGCGAAAATCATCGTGGCGCTCCATACTAATTTTTTTATCATATGCGCTCCATAATTCTTCAGCCCCACGAAATGTATACATTTGCCACAAAATGTATACATTTGGGACGCGCACGCAAAAAACAACCACCACGTTAACGACTGCAGACCGTAATATTGGCCTTTTCTCATTGTCAGGCTACATGCACGTTTTCCAACCTTTTGATGAGCCCAGATCACTAGTTTGGAACTGAGCTGTGAACCAATCAAGAAATAACCTTTTTCTGAACCTGCTTCTGGGGTATGTATCTGTACTACATTATTTTAGAAATCTAATTCTTAAAATGGAAACTTTAGTTATATACAATTCAATTGTGTACTAATATGCCCTAGCTCGTTAAGTTGTTTACTTATTGTAATTTTAGGGTTCTTATTTTTCTGAATCATCACTGATTTAACGCCTTAAACACCTTTTGTGAGGGCCGGCCCTGCACAAAAAAGAATTTTAAGAAGCAATTTTGGAGATGCTTTATCATCCGTGTTTAAATTAACTGGCGAGGCCTGCCGACAAGTTGACCGTATGATGTTTGGCTTCCCCGCTACATTAAAAAAGACAACCAAACTTGAGTACACCAAAGGATAAGAAAATGAGTTGTACACTTACAATGTCCAAATCAGTCGGAACCTGTATGAAATAAAACACATGAGAAAATAGCTATTTTTAGACGAAATTCCTTAACTGAGTGAATATGTAAACACTCCAAGAAAAAATATCGAGACAATCTCAACCATTCTCATTTGAAAACCATTTTCAAAAAATTCGCCTAGATTGTCCATGAACGTTGTTTTAACAGTAACAAATGAATTGGCGAAGTTCTAAATTATGATGACGTCATACCGGAAGTAATAATAGGGACAATTTGAAAATGATCTCGTGTTTATTTTGTTCATTGAAATCCACCATTTAGTACACAATGGCGACACTGTGGCCCAATTGCTGACACCCTTGTGACGCCATCAAAACATTATCTCTTAATCATTTCTTATTTAAAAAAAAAACAGCCTGATGTTGCGAAATTAATTAACAAGTTCTTCTTCAGAGGCAAAACAATTATAGAAAAGATACAATCTGTATCGTCTTTAGCCAAAATGCTTATTAAATAAGAAATACATTTTCATCAATTCTGCCATTTTAAAACAGTGCCATTCATAACCGAAACTGAAATTAAGTACTTTGGAAAAGTATTGCGCACAATCACCCTACGTTTGCCACGAATCAGACATACATTTCTGGGGTTTTGGGGGTTAATTTGTGTTAGTTAGTTGTTTTTTTTTGGTGTGTATTTCTCCTGTGATTTTTGAGTTTTTGAGTTTGTTTCTGCGTGCAATAAGGGACGTTGAACAATAGAGGATAATAGGGTCCCTAATTCGAGATCTCCCCAATTTGGATTCGTGTACAAAACAAACGAGAGGTCCTAAAAAGAATAGGGTACAAACAACGGAGGGATATGGGGCCCCCGATTGCAGGAAAATAGACACTTGTGTATGTGGGTTTTTTTTTCGGGGGGGGGACTTAACACGTAATCTAATGGATTTATACTTGATGATATTTACAGGGTTATTGCTCAGTATACCTTAGGCCATCAGCCTCGGTCAAACATTTTAGCCACCGGTATCAAATAAGGGGAATAATCGTCAAAGCGATCATAGGGAACTAAGGCGGTTTTCACCTCCTTACTGGGAAAATATTTGATAGCAATACAACAGTTGCAGCTTTCTGGGTGTTATCAGTGAAATCACCCTTTTTCGAGATGTCCATCAAAATGGTTTTTTTTTACCACTCTAGGGGCCGTCTAGTCTGGTTCCCAGACCAAAAGATTCTGACTACTCCTGATTAATCTTAGGTCCGGTAGCCTCCGGTTATACATTGTATTACAATTTATGTCACTCACGTGACTAAAACGGGAGGAATTCCTCCTTTTTCCGAACATTTCCGAAGTTTGCCGAAGTCGTTAGGTCGACAATCGGATAGGGCCCGAGTATTTCCGAGTATATAATAGCCTATAGGTTTAATTAACTGCTAATTGCTTATTAATTTGATTTAAAATGAGTTGATAATTAATATTCATTGCTTTCATTTAGAGAACTTGAATTCAACATCGATTTTGTGCATCAAATATACTCGGATAGTATGGGCAAACTTTTTGCTGCGTCATGTACAATTTTGAATTTGACGACCGAGATTTGCCAAAACTCGGTCTTTGTTCGGCTCCGCCTGCCAACAGTGCTATTTGGGTGCCTAATTTTGAAGATTCCAGATCAACATTAGTCAATGTTATCTTACAGAAACTCCAAACTGTATTATCATAACTGTATGAGATTACGAAGAGAGTGTTTTATTAAAAAAAAATGATATGAACATTAAAAGCCACAAGCGATAAAGCAAAGTCGGAAACGAAGCCGAGCTTTGAAAAAGGGCCATCAATGTCGTCATGCTTACTTTTAGCCACGGAGGCTGCCTGACCTACAATTTGAGCGTCGGGAATAATTGTCAGGTCTTGGAACCAGACTAGGGGCCGTATACCTTACGCATGCGCACTATAGACTAATCATTTATGCCCCGATTTGTTTTCACCTCCTTACTTAGAACATATGATAGCAAAGCAACAGTTGCAGCTTTTTGGGTGTTATCAGTGAAATCACCCTTTTTTTTAAGATGTCCAGCAAAATGCTTTTTACCACTCTAGGGGCGCTATACCTTACGCATGCGCACTATAATCATTGATGCCCCGATGAGATATTGACCAAACCCCAAGGCTGATGGCGTACCTTAACATATCACAGTCATCCATAAACATGTAGATTCAAACGTGAACAAGAGTGGATGCAATCAAGCGGCAAAAACACAGTGTTTATAGTTATGTAAAGAATGTGCTGTGACACAAGTACCCTCTGCAGAAATTCAGTCTTCATACATTAACTATAAACTTCATACAATTTACCAAGTGTGTCAAGGTGACGCTATTTACGCGCCCTTCAGGCAAACTTGTCATCATAATGCAGTTATTGTTGTACTATTATAAGGGTTGCATGATATATCTTTACACAAGCAACCCAAGTAAACAGAGGTAGACTTGCATGTATTTAACTGAACCTTGTGTTGCAACGATAATTGATGCAATATTCAAGTCCACTACGATGTATGTTCAGTTATTGAATTGTTTGCAGTGTATAGCAGTCCACTTCACGAATGAATTGCCTAATCTACGACATGACCAAGAAAAAGTAATCAAAGAATAGACTTGATCTTTAAAAAAAAATCAGGCCTCTTTGTTAATAATAATTTCAATGAAAATTCTTAGTTTCCCTTAATATTGGCTTAAATGTTCTCAGACTTACGTAGACAAAAGGAAGAGAATCTCCATCATAGGGCTGTGAATGAGAAGGAAAAAAGGGATGGCTACATTATAAGAGACACTTTTTGTATGTATGTTCGTAGTGACATTAGCAGAAGAAAATACCATAACATTATACTAGAATACACTGACACAAATGCAAAACAAACATTCAAGAATGACAAAGTGCCTCGCGAACTGAGCACAACTGGCCTTCATTTAACAGTAGAATATAAACATTCACACAACCATACTTTGGAAATTGGCTATTATTCAATTTGTGTAATTGTTGAAGGAACGCATTTTGGGGTCAGAGGTTTGAATCAAAAAGAAATCGAGTTGTGTGGGTGCCGGTCGTGGTTTCAGTCGCACATGTTCCTTTGAAAACTCGTATTTACAAATGCATATACCCCATGCTCTTCCCAAAAAAAATGATGTATTTTTTTCGCCCCCAATTTAATAATTAAACGGCGGTGGATGTTTTGTTCAATGTCTCATCCCAAACTGAATAACGTTTGTATTATTTAGTGATGCAAGTTCCTCCAAAAGAAAGATTGCTTCTGATCAGACTTAAATTGCACAAAATAGTAATTGAAAAAAAACCCCTATTTTTGAGGGTCAACTAAAAAATTGCACGGGTTATAGATTATTATTTATTAATTGGTTTATTATTATGTCTTTTTCGCCGCCAGCAGCGGAATTGTAAAGAACATTTACAATGTTTAATCATTAAAAACAAAAACTTTACTTTATAAGAGCAGCGAAAGACTAAAATCGTATATATGTATTTAAAAAAAACATGAAATGGAGAGGGTATGTGGAAGGTAAGCTGGGAAGGGGAGAGGATGAGAGGGGAGGGGTAAGACAAGGAATATGGACAAACATAGAATTACAGCATTTCAAGACCAACGACTGGATAAACATGGAATTCAAGGAAATCATTTCAAGACTACACATACAAAGATTTGCACTACATTACATACATAATTTATGGATGAGAGAAAATGATAAAAGGTTTATGGGTAAACAGTTTCTAGGCTTAAAAATGTGATTTTCACCAAAAAAAAGACAAAGGAATACATAACTGTCATAAAACATCAAACTCACAATAGGACAAAAAAGCTATGTAGGAAGTTAAGAGAGGAGGGTGTGGGCGGGGAGGGATAACACAAATTCCCAGGATTAAAACGGATTTGTATTCCAATAAAACCATTAGACATGGATGTCAATAAAAAAAAAGTGATTAATTAAAAGGAGGCACTTAAAAAAAATGTTTACTTGTATAGATCTTCGAGGAAGACATTTTTTTCCGGACAATCATTTTTTAGTGATAATTAGGCCTACTTCAAAACTGCTGAACTAAATCGTATCGTTATATCAGTGACTCAAACGACCGCAATTGAAGTCTTATCAGAAGCAATCAATCTTTTAAGGGACCTTGCATCCATGGAGATTCGACAGTAAGTCTTTCGTAAAAGCAGCTTGGAACTAATGAAGATGATATCGTTGCGGAAACTCATTTTATGATATCAATATGCGCTATACTATAGACATTATGATTAGTATTCCAAACGGATGTGATTTTTTGTCTGATTTCAATTCAAATCTGAGTCTCTTGAGTTGATACCATGCAAATACCATAAGCGATGAAAAAGAAAGAAAACAGGATTATCGAAGATGATTATACATGTCTCCCTTTTCAGAAAGGGCAAACCTATAACAGAGTACAAAATAAATGAATTCAATTTTAGCAGCTGCTCTCTTTTCTCGCTGTTTTCTTATCTCGATTTCTTCCATTTTTGTTTGTTTGTTTTTTTTCTTCTAATGTCTGGAGTTTGTGCCTTCACACGCAATTAAAGATTAAATTTAAAGAAAGGTAAAGTAGGTAGGGCCTATTCTTTAAACTATTTGGTGTTTGTTTTCATAAAAATGTTGCATGTTTTACTGATTATTGTGAAACTCACCTTGGCGGTTCGTCGACGCAGCAGATAGTCAGACCAACAGACATACAACGCGTAAGTCACCACCAGTGTGAACAGCAAGGCCAGGATCCCTGCTACAATAATTACGCCAGTGGAGGAAGAGGCAGGTATCTCCCCAGTCGACGGCACCTTGATTGAGACCTCATTAGGTCCTTCAGTGGTGGCATTCCCAGTCGACTGCACCTTGGCTGAGACCTCATTAGGTCCTTCAGTGGTGGCATTCCCAGTCGACTGCACCTTGGCTGAGACCTCATTAGGTCCTTCAGTGGTGGCATTTCCAGTCGACTGCACCTTGGCTAAAACCACAG